ACAGCGGACCTGGTTGGGAACTCCAACCAGATCCACAGACATAACACCCACAGAACTGGTAGTAAAATTTTTTGAATCCCACCCTGGATATGCTGTGCTGATGATTTGCATAGCCTGAGCTGCCTGCCTCTCTGTCTGTTCTCATAGTTGCGAAAGACTGCCTTCAACACGGTGCCTTTAAAATGCATTGAATTTCAGTATAGATGAGTGCTATGGTGGCTGCAGATTTAGGGGAGTGAAGTCCCAACACATTCAGAAGGCACCTTATTGGGAAAGGTTCTGTTGGAAAAAGGTAGATTAATAAGACTGTTAATTTTATCAAAACAGTATCTAAGAAATATTACTACCCTAGTATTAAGGGATGGAAATGGCCAGAAGTCTTGGAGGAGTCAGGGGATAAGCATGTGATCAGAAAGAAAAAGAGAGCTCCTGCTGCTGTAGAGTCTCTCTCTCTCTCTCTCTCTCTCTCCCTCTCTCCCTCCACCCCCTCTGCCTTGCATTAGGACCACACAAAAACCATCGAAGTGAATATAAATATAAAAATATTGAGTTTGTATAAAGAACTCAGTGGCTACACTTTCAGGGTTATAATCTGTCTTTTCTCTCTGCCCTCCTCAGTATGGAATAGTGCTTGATGCTGGTTCATCTCGGACAATAGTCTATGTATATGAATGGCCAGCAGAAAAAGAAAATAATACTGGAGTAATAAGTCAAACCTTCAAGTGTAATGTGAAAGATGAGGAAAAAATACTGAAATAATTGCATGGAGTAAAAAAAAAGTCACAAGGATTGCATTGTCTTGATGGAAGAGAGTGAGGACAATCAGTTTATATGTCTGAGTCATACAAAGTACATGATAAAATGATTTTGGATCCTGAGTCAAGGATGTCTTCTCTGCTTAGAATTGCTACATAAAAGGACAGATTTTCAAGTCTGGAATCTAACCAGATCAAATCATACATAAATGGTTACATTCATGATTATGGAACTATTACACTAATAGAGGAAATATATATGCTTTTATCTCACATGAATTCTATGGATCTTTATCATTCTTCTTTCTTATCTTCTCTATATCTGAAAGTAAGAGGAGTCAGTCTGATAAAGAGGTTATTTGCATAATCATTGAGTTTTATAGGCAGAACATGTAGCCTGACCTGATCAGGCCTCACCAGTTTTGATCACTAACCTTTCATGTTTTGGACAAAGTCATTTCCAGATTAACCAGACTTTAAATGCTATTTGATCTGTTGCTTTTGAATTCTCCATGCAAGTGTGTTTTTTATTTGAGATGGTATGTATACTCTTATTAGATAAATTTGTATAATAAGTGAGTTCTTCACTGATGGATACAGACTCACAAACTTCTCTGATCATGCAGACAATTAGGAATTGAAATATCAATGGCACCATGCGTTCTTTCCAGACTAATTGTACCATAAATACTATAAATATATAGGAACAGCAGCCTCCAAATAGAATCCTATTTGAAAATTATTAGTTTTTTTAAGCACTGCTTTTATGACTAAAGAAAGAATAGACAAGTCACAGTCTGCAGCACTCTCAAGCAGCTTCTCAGTCTGGTTATTTTACATGATCAGGATTCTTTTAAAGTGCAGGACCACATATTTGAATATTCCTCATTTTAGAATCTAAAAGTGCAGTGTCCTTGCCAGGGCAAACATTAATAGTTATATAAGCAAATAAGCTAATATATACAGTACCTAGTAGCTTGATTTTCTGGACTTCATCAGATGAACACTAAGTTATTCATATGGTTTTCAGCTTAATTTTTGTCTCATGTCCCAGTGAGGTTTCATTATTACAGTAATTTAAAAGTAGTGATTGGCTTATAATCTATATAAACTGTAAACTCAGAGGATTTTTTAGTGAGAAATGTGAATTAACTGAATATCAGGAAAGGTGCTATCTGTTCTTTGTAATGTTCTGATGTTTTAAAGATTTTTTCACAGCAATTATTTCACAGTACACAAGACATGAATATATGTCAACAAAATTAAAACACAGTGCCCTCACCAAAGCCCCCACAAATCAGAATTTAATTACCCCCATAATATATTCATCTTGTGCAAACCCTCATAGTGATCCACAAGCAAGCAATAAAAATAATTACAAGAATTCTGTGCAAATCAAAAGATTACATATCTGGCAGAGTCAGAACCAGAAGTGGTATTCAGCAGGTTCTATTTAATAGATAGATAATCAGAGTTGGAAGGGACCTTGTAGGTCATCTAGTCCAACCCCCTGCCTAAACCCTACACCATTTATGACAAATGGCAGTCCAATCTCTTCTTGAAAGTCTCAAGTGATTGCACTCCCACAACTTCCAAGGGCAAGCTATTCCATTGGTTGATTGTTCTCACTGTCAGAAAGTTTCTCCTTATTTCCGGAAGAAGGCGGAGCCTCCTCGCTGACGGACCGTATCACAACTCTCTGTGGCTATGGTCCGTGCTCTTTTGTTGGAGAGCCCCGATCATTATGATTAGGGGCTGAAGCTGCCTTGGAGGGGCGGTGGAGTAAGGGGAAGCTGCAAGCCAGGTTGAGGGGAGCCACATCTCCCCCCCTGGGCTTGGTCTTTTTCCCCCCAAAGACGACTGCAGCGGTGGTTTAAAATGGCCACCCCGAAGAGGAGGACTCAACTGGATTAAAATTTGTGCAGGAGGGAAGAAAGAGGTGGATAACATCTGAACCAGGACAACTGGGCAATACAACTAAACAAAAGTACCCCGGGATTAAGGTAACATGGAATTTTTAAGAAAAGAAAAGTGAGCGGCGAAATTACAAAGAGACAGGGGGAAAAAAAGAAAATATTTTTGACAGCTAAGTGGGGCTTCGAACTGGGAAAGGAAGAAGCTGGAACTAAAGATTTAACTAAATTGGACTAAAATATTTTGGGAATAAACAGGCATAAAATAAAACTGGACTTAAGATTGTCAAAAAATAATAATAAAGTTTACAAATTGGAGACTGGACTGTGCTGGAATATTGAGGTTCGAAAAACCCTAAATAAAAAAATAGGGGGAAAAGGTGAAGACTTTGTATAATGGAGAGTGCCATCTTTTGAGAAAAACTTGAGCTCAAACAAAAGGTAAAGCATCCTGTTTCTGAATGAACTTGTGTGGATATAACATTAAAGAAATATTGAAACAGAGTAAGAATCTTAGAAAGTGAAAGCAGAACCAGAATAAAGAAAAAAGCAAGGAAAGACTGACTGTGGGATTGATTGATGTTTTTGGTATAGACCCTGGGCTGGAATAACTGAGAACTTTAGAAAATTGAAAGAAGAAAGAAGGAAAGTAAAAGTGTTTTTTTTGTGTGTGGACTTTAACGATCAAAAAATATAAGAGTGTGTAATGATGATATCTCTTCAGGAATTAAAAATGGAACTTAAAAATATGAGAGAATTACTACAGGAAAGAGGCGAATCACTTTGCTCTGTGTTAGAAAAAATGGAAATGGCGATTGAAGAACAAGAAGAAAGAGCTTCAGAGGAGGGGGAGTTGATTCAAGGAGAAGACATTTTAAATAGACAATTAACACAAAGAACACCACAAAGAAGTGGGGAAAGAAGGAAGGTTAAAAAGTTCAAATTTAAGGAGGCAATCAAAAGGGGGAATATCTGTGAAGTCAGGAAAGGCAGAAAGACCCAGCAGAAAAGGGGAAAGGAAGATACTAAGAAAGAGAGGGATATAAACTGGAACAAGAAAAGATATGGGGAAAAGAGGGGGGGAGAAGCAGTAAGAAACAGGTGCATGAAATAAAGAAATACAGAAATAGTAAAATGTTGAAAAATTGTTTTTTCCGAGATAATGGTTGATGAATTAAAAAGGGGATTCTGCAGGGTGACAAGGAGTAATAAGAATATTTCTGCAATTAAAAATATTTAGAAAATAGGGTAATATAGATACTGATAACTCTTATTAAAAATCAAGCGGGGAAAATATGCTTCAGAATCCAAATGAAAAGATGTAATGATTATTATTGTAACTTTTAAAAATAATGATTTATTGGGAATCAAGATGAGGGAATAAAGGTATATTTTAATCATTGAGGTGTCACACTCAAAACAGTAAAAGGGGGAAACCTATACTTGTTTTTTTTTTAGTGTTAAAATTTGTATTAATCAAGAATTTATAAAAAGAATGTGTAATGGAAAGGGAATATAACAGACTAAAGAACCAACTTAATTAATAAGTTAATATAGACTATTAAAAGCAAGGAGAGACATTGATAACATTTTTATTATTATCATTATTATTATTAGGCAACACATATTGTTTATCTTTATTTTTTAAAATAAATATTAAAGAATTATATTTGAAATAATTGAAATGAAACAAAAAGATGTTTCGACTGAGGTTAATGAAAGAGGCTAGAATTAATGTGTTTGTTTCTCTCCTTACTGAAAATTTGGAATAGAAAAGGTAATAATATAATTAAGTATGCATATATGAATGTATAATTGCTGTCATATTTGTATGTAAAGGTGATGACCTGGAAATATATTGTCCACTAAAAAGATATTTTTGTTTTTAATGTGAAAAACTGAATAAAATTTGTTAAAAAAAAGAAAAGAAAGTTTCTCCTTATTTTCAGGTTAAATCTCTCTTTGTTCAGTTTCCATCCATTATTCCTTGTCTGGCCTACAGGTGCTTTAGAAAATAGCTTGACCCCTTTTACTCCCTGTTGCAGCCCCTCAAGTTCTGACTAGTTCTGGAGAACCGGTAGTGGAAATTTTGAATAGTTCGGAGAACCGGTTGTAACCTTTCCCCGGAAGTGAGGAGGGAATGGAGATTTTGCAGTATCCTTCCCCTGCCATGCTCACCAAGCCACACCCACCAAGCCATCGATGCCCCCCAAACCATGCCCACAGAACTGGTAGTAAAACTTTTTGAATCCCATCACTGGTCAGAACTAATATTATATATAAATTAACAGGTTTGGAACCAGGACTACATAAAAACAAAGATAATACTATTATATAAAATTAGTATATTTTAGATTTTTTTAAATCTAAAGCTTTATAATGCTTGTCTGAGAAGATTCTCAATTATCCAGGGCATCCAGCAATGGGATTTTCTTGATTTCTTTTTAAAAATATTTCGCTTCTCATCCAATAAGATTTTTCAGTTCTAACTGACTAGTGAGGAATTTATAATGCTTATAAATCTCTGTTTTTGTTTGTTTGTTTGCTTTTTTATTCCTTATTTCTTTTTTATTCTGTTTTTAAATATATATTAAAATAAATTTTAAAAGATTAAAAATTCTAATACATCATTATTGGCAACTAAAACTAAATACAAGATACACAGATAGGGCTACTATATATAGGCTGCAAATATCTGGATTACTACCAGTGGAAGTAGAGAAGCAGATATATTGTGCTAATCTTGACAGAACAAACTAAATATTTTAATTATTTTTTCTAGGTCCTGGAATATCCAGCTATGGCAGTAACCCTCAAGAAATTTCTATGCCCATCAGCAATTGTATGAATAAAGTAAAGGAGAAAATTCCTTTTCATTTGCACAAAAGTGTACCTGTCTACTTGGGAGCCACAGCTGGTATGAGACTTCTGAGGTATAACAGCACATTTTGTAGTCTAGGACTGCTGCATGTAATTTTTTATTCATTGTTTCAGTACAGACTTCAGCAGAGCATAGTAATAATTTACAAGAACATTTTCTCCTTATCCTTATCTCCTTATTTCTCCATTACTCTACAAAATTAATAAATATATTAGCTGATTCTATACACTTGTGATCAGGACAAAAGCCATTTTGAAATATCCTGCTTGTTATAAGGAAGTGTCTCAAACTCAGGCTAAAGAGAAGTTGTAACAGTATAAGGAGATGTTCAAATCAAGCTGAAGAGATAAACAGGATGTGGAAGGGACTGAGAACAGGAGAGTGTCCATGAACTGTAACAAAGTGTGTAGAAAAACTGGATGCAGGTAGAACAATGGAGAACTGTAACAGAATGCATACGTGCCAGAAACTGTGTAGTTGCTTTTGCTCCGAAATGTATATGTGTCAATTTGAAACAGGAAGAATGTGAGCCAAGCCCTCGTACGAGGGGGGGCGGACAGTTAGGGTATAAAAATGCTGTTTGAATTTTGCTCTGTGTTCCTTCAATGCCTGGGGGAACCTGTTTTTGCAAACACGTAAATAAATTCTTGTTTTCCTTGGACCAACGAACCTTGTGGTGGTCTTTTCGTAACTCCCACCTCACACACTGAACAGAGATTGCAAGCTTTCCTAGATAGATTGTTGGGAATAAAATTGTTGCAGATATTAAACAGATTTTTAATGGCTTTTAAAAAGTCAATCCTAGATCTGAATGTTCCTGGATATTTCACAATAGGATTAGTTTTTCTAAATAAATTTTGGCCAATGGAAACCTTCATGTTCTCATTTATATTGCTTTATTGTAATTTTGCATATGTCTGCTTCATTTCTTTAAAATCATGTATGTATAATTTTTTGTGGATTTTGCAATGCAAATAATAATCTTTTGAGTGTCCATGATTTAAATAAAATATTTTTGTCACTTTTTTGAAAAGAAAATAATGAAGCGTTGAAATTCTGGCTTACTAAATGTTTTTTAAATAGGTGCACATAATTATGGTCAATATCTATTATGTTATCCAACTATGATATAAATATGTATAATGAGGGTCCACAGCATTTTCTCTTGTGGATGCATGACAACTATTCAATCTTGCTAAAGCATAAGCATTTCAATACAGTATATATTCTACCTACTATTTAGAACATGAATTAGAACAGAACAGGAATTTAGGATATGAATTTTTACAACAAATTTACAAATTGCATTCCATTTAAATAAGCAGGTATTGATAATTACATACACCCATGGGAAAGCCTTATTGATAAACATGCAGCTTTAATGTAGCTGCATGTGTCTTGGGGCTTGTTCACGCATGTATATTTATAACTCACTCACTGTAATGATGTTTGAATAATCCAGCACAAATTAATTATTAAGATACAAGCTGGTTTTTATTTCAAACACAATATTTTCCATAGAGTTTGTGCATTTAATTGGAACAATAAAATAATCAGATGTATGCTTGTCTGAATCAGCCTTTTTTTAAAAGTTCCAAATTTTTTTAAAAAAATCATCAACTTTCTGTAGTCAGTCAATTTAGTAAATTATCATCATAAGCAGCATCTCCTTTCAGACCCTCAGCATTTTGTCTTCTGTGAATTACATAGGTTGCGAAATGAATCAACAGCCAATGAAGTGCTTCAGAACATTCAGACTTATTTCATGTCACAGCCCTTTGAATTTAAGGGTGTTCAAATCATAACTGGTCAAGAGGAAGGAGTATATGGATGGATTACAGCCAAATATTTAAAAGGCAATTTCTTGGAGGTGTGTGGAATATTCTGCATGTTTATTACATTCTATTGTTTCTTACATATCTAAACTGATATGTCCTGTGATTAGTATAGACTTCCCACACTTTATGCAAGGCAAAAATCAGGGCAGTTTCCTAAATATAATAGTGTAATAATGTATACAGATAGATCTTGACTTATTACCACATTCGAACCCAACATTTCTGTTGCTAGATGAAATAGTTGTTAAGGAAGTTTTGCCCAAATTTGCAACCTTTCTTGCCACAGTTGTCAAGTGAATCACTGAAGTAGTTAAGTTAGTAACACAGTTATTAAGTGAATTGGCTTCCCCAATTGACTCTTCTTGTTAGAAGTCGCAAAAGGTGATCACATGTCCCTGAGGCAATACAACTGTCATATGAATCAGTTGCCAAACACCTGAATTTTGATCACATGACCATGGAGATGCTGCAATGGTTGTATTTGTGAAAAACTGTCATAAGTTACTTTTTGAAGTGCCATTGTAACTTCCAACAGCCACCAAACAAACTGTTGTAAATTTAAATATGGCAGTAATATTGCCAGCCAGTTCCCATTTTTAATCTTGTTTTGTTTAGAATTGATTTTTGGTATGTCAAATATAAACACCTTGTGCATTTAAAGTATTTGTTATTGTTTAAAAATACACGTTCATAAAAATTCTGGCCAAATAATAAGAAAGGAAGCCCCTTTTGAAAATTTCATGGATCATTTGATCTATAAAGTAATTCAAAGAGAAACAAGTACAATTTTTTTTTGCACATTCTGGTCACATTTGCAGAACCTGTTCCTCAGTCTGTGGTCTCACTATTATTCTATGTTTATCTTCTCTAAAGGCAAGGGGAGATCATAAGTATACTGTGCAGAGTTGATCGATATAGTATGCAATCACTATTCATAGTCACTGTTTAATGCTAAAAGATCAAATTGAGAAGAAAGGATAAGGTGAAATAGTAAGGCAGACATTATTTTTCGTGGCTAGCCATTTTTTTATTATCTGCTTAACTGATAAATTTTGTTTATAATTTTGTTTTATAATTTTTCTTTATACTGAGAATAATATTTATAAATTTCACAGTAAATTGTATACTTTGTTTAGTTGTATAAGCTGTGCGCAGCTATTACCAGGGGTGGGATTCAGCCAGTTCGGGCTGGTTCGGGCGAACCTGATGTTAACTTTACATCCAGTTTGGCAAACCGGTAGTTCCAACATCCTCCCTGCCCTGTCCCTCCCAGGAATTCCCACAAGGCCCATCTGGCTCCCAGGTAAGTGTAGGGAGGCCTCCTGGGAGCAAAAATGGGGCATGGGTGTGTGTGCAGTGTTAAGAGCAAAATGCGGGATAATAAAAAAGCAACAAAATAAAAAAAACTGAGCAAATGTCAGCAGTGTAATATAACTATATCATGACAAAATAATCAAAAACTCTGATGAAGCTCAGTTGGAAAGGTACCAACCATTTAATCTTTCAAATAAGGTTAATGTGAGTCCTCTATAATTTTGCCACCAGATTCTATACCGCAGCTTATTAAAGGAAATGTACCAGAAATCTAGTTTTGATAGACTATGACTGCAAAATAAAGTTGTGAAAAGAATTTATATTACTATAATATCAACAAAACTATTAGAGTAAATATTTTTCTCTTATTTCAGCTTATCCAGTATGGACTTCATCCAATATAACTTATATATAACAATATAACCAATATCACCTTTTCATCAGTACCTGTCAAAATCTTATCTAGATCAGTCAGTTTATCATAAAATCCCTCTGTTTTAGAATCTTCATCATACCTTGAGTGTATTTGCGCATATGAAAACCAATTCATTTTTATACCTTGTTCCTCTAGATTTTGCATCGATTTAAGTTCACCCTTTTCATCCAATATTTCCCCATATCTAACTGTTTGTTCCTTCTTATAAATTATAGGATAGGAAAATGCTTCAATAGTTGATAACCAAACTGGAATTTTCAAATAACATTGTCTTTTAATCTTCTCCCAATTTAACCACAAAGACTCCCACATATAATGTCTTCTAAAATAACCCTGTGTTTTAGTTCCCGTATACCATAAAAAGGTGTGCCAACCCAACAGCAAATCATGACCTTCTAGTGTCAACAATCTGGTCTTTCTTAATGTTATCCATTCCTTGACCCACATCAAATTTGCAGCTTGGTAGTACAACCAATACAAATATTTCTGTAGAAGTTAGTTGTTTTTTTGTTTTTCCATTTTTACCATTCTCTAATTATTTTGTTGGATCTTTGTTGATTACCTCGTAGGTATTAGTATCATTAAGTAAATTCTTGGCTTTCTTAATGTAATCAGTTTTTTCCATTTACCACAGTTAGTCTGCCTTTGTCTGCCAGTAGGCGGACAATGTCTCTATCTTTTCTAAGTTTCTTAAATGCCTTTTTCTCCTCTTGGTTAAGTGTCTCGTCTGTTTCATTGGACGTTAGGAATGATTCTCTTATGTCCTCTTGTGTTCCCTGGTCAAGTTTGTTAGTTTTCATTATGCATTCTAAGTTGGCAAGGAAATTAACTAGGTTCACATTTTTTGTAGTTAAAATTAAGGCCTTTTATGAGGATGGCTTTTTTGTTTTCAGATAACGGACAAGTTTTTATCCATGAATTTGAATTATCATCTTGCTGTTTAGAAGTGATCTTGGCTAGTTTCTTTGGTAGGGCATTTTTTTTTCTGGTTTGGAGTTTGTCAGTTATCATTCTGATTGTGTTTTTCAGTTTGCCCATAAGATCTTGTCCAATTGTAGTTTTTTGTTCGTTGATGATGCTTTGGTATTTCTTCAGTTGATGAGTGCATCAGTAAATGATGAACTGAAGCATTTTACATCCATTTTTGTAGGCTAGTTTCCATTCTTGTGGGTGGTTAATTGGAGATCTGTAGCATATGCTTTTTGGCAGTGTTTTCTTTTGGAGGCATTCAAATGAAGTTGGGAAATAAGAAAAGATTAATGCTTGTCTTATGCACATTCAGAAGAGAAATTCCTAACTATTCAGCCACAGCAGCAGAGATATCAAACACATCGCAAACTATTTATTTCCTCTTTTCCAGAAATATTTAAAAAAGACCACATTAGTAGTACTGATATTCTGCATGGAGAATCTGATTTTAATCTGGAGTACATTTCCATGCAAGAGAAAATATCACTACTAGTGTTCAGGCAAGCCTAAATCAGTTGGATGGTTATGCATGATTATCATCTAGACCTAGCATGGGAACACTTGATCAATGGGACTCCCTAATTTGTACATATTGTCCAGACCTGGCTGTGCTGTCCAGCCAGTGTATGGGAATTGGATAGTTAGGTAGCAATTATGAGCTGTCCTCTTAAGGGAATGCATCATGGTAAATATAGTTAAGGTATCCTGGGAAATGTAGTCCATGTCACGTGACCACATCTGTAATCCTGATTGGTCACTAAATTGACCCTCGATGGGTTGGGGGAGGTTTCCTCACTCTTGGCTGAACTCACGGACTCGTGGTAACTGTTCTTCTTCTATCATTACAAGATGAGAGAAAAAGGATAGGAGATAACCATCTTTTTACCTACAAGACAGATATACAAAGGATTGGTCATTAAAGAAGAACTTCATCACAAATGTGAGTTATGAGGATACCTGATGAACCAATAATAAAGACTTTGTATGTACGTTTTGTTGAGTTTATCTATCTGTGCAGAAGACAAAATCTACCACTGTACAGAATACAGAACAGTAAAAAGATGGTTAATTTGAAGTCCTGAAGCCCATCAGTATAAACACAGTTAATTTGGATTTTGTGATAAGCAAAGTAATATTGAAGCCAGGAGTGAATATGCAATATTAATCTAAACCTGAATTCTCATCATCTCTCTCTCTCTCTGTGCAACGGAACCTTTTACACGCTGTTTGGATTGTGGGAGGGGCTGGAATTCTCCACATGCTAGAGACAAAGAGAGCTCTTTCTGAGCCGCAGAGTTGCAAACCAGTTTGAATTACAGGAACCCACCCCTCCTCTCTTCTGTTCAATTTGTCTTCCTGCTCTCTCAGAGACTCCATTTGCATATCAAGGAGAGTCAGAAATTCCCCAGCTCTCAAAGGAAAATCAAACCTCTGTCTTAAAACCTTCTACAAATGCAGTGAGAAAGTCTGAGAAGTTATGCCTGTGTGCTTATAGGTAAAATGAAAGCTGATCTTCCTCTGCTCATCTGGAAGGGAGGCAAAGCAATAAAAGAGGCCAGGGTCATAAACATTCCTCCTGCCAGAGCCGTCTCCAGAGCAATGGGCACATTCTTCCTCCCTGAAGAGAGACACTTAATATAGCAATGATTTAAACAAAGTCAGCATCTTGCCTTTTACTATCCTGCTGAAGTCAATAAGGATTTTTCCTTTAAAAAATTAGTAGCAATCTAAAAGCAACCACGGTGGCCGTGCAACATTTTAAAGCATTTCCTTCCAGCCTCCTCAATTGCCATTCAACTGCTAGATTCTAGCACCATCTGATGGTCAAGTAGAAAATTTCCCCCCAAAAAACTTCTTCCCACTTTAACCCAAATGGTCAAGCATCACTAAGAGACCTAATCTGTGCTTAGCAACGGTGTCTTCCAGACCTAGCAAGTACCCCAAACAGGCAAATTTGTGCTCTGAGCTAAAAGTCTCCCAGACTTTGCACCACACCCTAAGTGGCCGAATTGTATACTTTGTCTCCCACTCTTGCAACGCACCTCTCTAGTGGTCAACCATTGAATTTGGCAGAACCCGCCCAATTCAGCCACACACCTGCAGCACCATCTATATGGTCAAGTACTGAATTTCACAGAAGTTGTTATGTTCAGTTACCTGCTTGCAGCGCACCCTAGTACAAGAAAAAGGGAATTTCACGAAAAACCACTAAATTTTCCAAAAGTCATCTTTTACCAATTTGAAACATGGCAACTGCTTCAGCCATGACAGATGTCCCTGAAGTACCAGAGGACTTGAACCCTCCACCCACCCTAGATGTAAACATGGAGCCTGGTTCCCAAAACCTTCATCCAGATATCTAAACCTTCGTAGACATAGCGATACCTCAGAAAGCCTACAACCTCAGAAAGTAAAAAGCTTACTGAACCCATGGAAGAACACTCGAGGAACGATTGGGAGAAGCAATATTGTCGCTATGCAGACTCATGGTCGGAGCTTGAGAAGATCTGTGATGCACCAAAACCCAAGCTGCCCCTCAAGAAACTCCGCATATTGCTAGTTGATTTAGATGTCTTTCTCGCATGGTGGAGACACAGCAAAGACAACCTCAAATCCATCCAGTCAAGATTGGGTGACCCCAAACTCCTAAAACACGTCCAATGCTTTGAGGAGATTCACAAGGAACATGAAGACTGTGTCAAGGAAAGCAAAACAGCCCTCCAGGCAACGCTCCACAATGCACTTTGGCAGGAAGTAGCGTCAAGGGAGCAGGCCACATCCAACATAGCTCCTCGATCACACATGTCTTCTTCCCACCACTCAAAGAAAGCCTCCTCCCTTCACCCCAAAACGGCTAGCTCACAAGCAGGTTCCAGTGTCTCACGCCAATTCTCTGCTGCCAGCTCTCACCATCCTTGCACAGCATCCTCCCATCGTAGAGGCGCATCTCGGGCCTCCAAAGCAGCCAGCTATGCCGAATGAGCTGCAGAAGCCCAAGTTGAAGCTGCAGCAGCAGAGGCAGATTTACATATTACAATAGAGGTGATACGGCAGAAAGCTGAAATGGCCAGTCAACAAGCAGAAATGGCCAAACAACAAGCAGAAATGGCCAAAGCTCAGGCCAATCAACAAGCAGAAATGGCCAAACAACAGGCAGAAATAGCCAAAACTCAGGCCCAAGTGGAGCTACTCGAACGACAAAGAGAGACGGCAGCGAAAACAGCACGGGCCACAGCATGGCAGAAGGTGGGCAACGCTGCCTCCCTTAAGTTCGACCTCAAAGAGTTGGGAGAAGAGAGCACAGATACACGGGTCAAGGCCTATGTGGATGAGCAGCACTCGCTACAAAATGAGCAGATGGAATCGCCTCAGTTGCCTAGCAGTCTCCCACAAACAGAGAAGCACAGGGATGAATCTCACCCACAGACTCTAAACATCAGTTTTACACAACTGATGTTGTATGACCTAAAGTACGAGATTCACTTCCCACCAACAGCAAACTTTCCCCAACTGATGTACATACTAAGGTCCAAGATTCTCTTCCCAGCATCAGCAACCCTACTCCAACGTCTCATGGCCTGTTGGGTGAGCAAATTAGCCCACTAGTGGTCACACCGACTTCTCACAAGTAGACATGCCACCGATGACACCAGCCACACTCAATCCACAAGCAGTACCATTCCAGCCACAACCTCCACACTACCTGAGCTCACAGGCACAACAAGATAACCACGGCCAGACTACACAGCAGCGTGAAGCTCCACCATCGTCTCTGGAATGGCAGGATGACATCCTTCATAAGCACTGGGAGGAAGGCTTCAACCCATCGTTGACATACAACTTGAGCCTACCCTATCCAAGGGATGGCCAAGGGATGGCCCCTCCATGTCAATGCCCCTCCCCAACTCTACAGATGATTCAGACTACTGGAGAGAGTTAGCAGAGGAAAGCTAGATTTAGCCACTAATGGTGTATATAAATTCTCTGACGAGCCAGGCA